TCTGTGGAGGGTGTGGCTTCAGGCTATGTGAGGTGGCATATCCTTCCTTGGTGGAAAGTGATCATCAAGTAGGTGTCCATAGCCTTCCCAATGAGTCTCTGTCCTCCTCCAAGCACCTGGTAGCAGGGTTGGTGACACAGCCATTTCTTCACCATGCCACCCATCACCTCTTGGCTGGTTTCCTTGGCTCCAGTCTGGGCTAGGCTGCTGCTGACTAAAGCCATTGGCCGTTGGATAAACTGCAGTTTAGAATCCCAAGCTCAGTGTTTGTGAAGAAATTCAGGGATGCTAAAGGTTGCATGGAGATTTTGTTGTAAGATTAAGAAGTCTTCACTGTCAACAATTAAAATATTCATCTGTTATGTCATATAAAGAACCCTTGAAAAAGAACGGTATTTTTCCTTTGCTTTTTTTTTTCATTCACCAGTATTGAGTTTCTGTGTTTTTGTCTTGTCCTTTTCAAGCCTTGCCGATTTCTGAATATGACAAATAAAAGTATAGTTTCTCTTTGAAAGAGTTGACTGCCTGAGTTGAATTGCCATTTTCCCCCCTGAGTTTCTGAAAAATATGTCCACTGTTTTCTTTATACTGCTGCCCTGGACATCATGTAATGTTTGCTCTTTCTGATAGATTTATAGGCTTTATACTTGATGCTGCTTTTATAGGGTTTTATCTTTTGTATTAAGATGAAGAATAGTTTTCTAAATATCTCTTTAGACCCCCCCCTCATTGTCTTGTATGGACTAGACATTTTAAAATTATTGATTGAGTCAGATGGCTGGGAAATGTTTTAGAAGTAGTGCTACTTGGGGGTGTCTATACTTTGTGTGTGTGTGTGTGTGTGTGTGTGGTCCCCCTTATTCCAGCCCCTAACCCCACTGTGGCTTATGTGGTAAAATAATTCTTTTTTTTTTTTTTTTTTTTCAAGACAGGGGTTCTCTGTGTAGCTTTGTGCCTTTCCTGGAACTCACTTTGTAGCCCAGGCTGGCCTTGAACTCACAGAGATCCGTCTGCCTCTGCCTCCTAAGTGCTGGGATTACAGGCGTGTGCACCACCACCTGGCCTTATAATTCTTTATTTAGCTCATCACTTCTGGTCAGTGGTCACTCCGTCCCAATCTCATTTAGACCTAAATGTGTTTTGAATGTACAGTGTTGAATAAATCCACATGTTTTGTGTCTTGGTGTCTGTATTGATACATTGAAAATGATAGTAATACTGATCTCTGGAGCTAGAGGGATGGCTTAGTGGTTAAGAACACTTGTGCTCTTGCAGAGGACCCGGGTTCTGTTCCCAGTATCCACTTGGTGGCTAACCACCTTCTGTAACTCTGTAACTCAGGGCATTAAGAGACCTGATGCCCTCTTCCAGCCTCTGCAGACACCATGCCCACACATGGTGCACAGAGAAAACACCCATACACATATAAAATAAGTAAATATTTAATAATAAAAAAAACATTACCTACCTCATCAGGTGTCCTTGATGAGTGGATTAATCCTCATAATAAAACACTTAGACCGTATCAGAACTAGTTACTGCAGCCACTGGTTTTCTTTGCTCACAAAATCAATGAAAGCATTCTGTAAGTTCTCACTGGCTGTGTGGAATTAACAGTAGAACAATTTGCATGCATTATTACATGACAATTGTGGCTCTTACATTTTTGTGTTAGTAAAATTCGTAGTAATTTGGGTGTACACATACCCAGTATTTTGTCATTTCTAAATAGTCATCGCTGAATAACACTGCTGTCACTTTCGTCTCTCAGACTTATGGATGGGTTTCTAGCATATGGATAGTGTCTGGATTTAGCTTGTAACAGATGCTGTCGCTATCATACGCAGACCTCCTTTCCTGGGCCAGTGCATCCATCTCCCAGCTGCTGTGGTATTGGCTGCTAATGATGCACACCTGTACCCTTCTCCAGAGGACCACTCTGGGCTGACAGTAACTGCCCCAGCCAGATACAGTTCTGCGATCTGGTCCCAGCCCCCTCCAGGTACCCAGCGGTGGCGCATGGCCAATAACTTTACAGAGATATCCTGGCCTCTGGACTGGCTGTCTTCCGTGATTCAGTCCAGACTAAGAACTCCTTGGAGGATCAAGCTGGGGTGACATATCTGAAGTCAGATCTTCACCAGGATTCTTCCCTCATGGAGTCGACCTGTTTCACCCCTGTTTTCTCTCGGCAGCATTCTTTCTGTAATCATGTGGTGCTAGCAGGGCTGTTTCAGGCTGTGCTTCTAGGGAGCCTCACCTTAAATATGGCTGGTCTCAGGTGCTCCGCTGTTTTCTTGGTTCCCGTTGCTTAAGCACGTCTTCCACATCTCCGATCATCTAGGGTTTAAATTTCCTTGCCCTTTATTTTCTGTTTTCTTGATTCAGTCCTTTCTCGTGTGTATCAGCACTGTCCATACTACTCCTGTTTGCTCATTTAACGTTGCTCATCGAATGCCCTTGATGCTTTATGTCCCTTGGTTTTTCAGTCTGTTGTAATGGTGACTTATCCTATGTTTTAGGAGCTGAAGATTAGTTTCAGAGCTTAAGTCAGTTGTACTACCATCCCTTAGTTATTGTAAGAATTGTATGATCTGTTCTCAACACTCAGCGTTGTGCCGGGAGTACAGTAAGCGCTTAATAGATATTAGCTGCCTTCTCACATGAATTGATTTTTAATGTCTTTGCCTTGCTCTAGGTGAGCACCTGGGTGCCTGTACTTTAATAAACTGACATTAGAGCCTCTCGATGTCCTCTTTCTCATGGAAAATAGCAGCTGCTCAGTTTTACTCAGTGATGTGTTAGCTTGCCAGGGGAAGCAGAGGCCAGGCTGACTTCTGCTGCCGGATTACTCTCACCCTGGTGGGAGCTGCTAACATGACGTCATTGAGCACAGAGCAGGGAAGAAATATACACAAGTGGCTTTCGCCAGCCAGTGTACCCCAACTCTAGTCTGCACTGTTTGGGTCCCTTACATGTAGCACAGTATGTCACACGTGGAAGCTAAACGTTCCGTGCATGACTAAAACACAGTTATCAACTGATTAGGATGGGGATCACATGCCGCAGATTAGTAAATTACTTATCTAATTCTTGTTACGTAACCAACTGCATCCATTCTGTTCACCTCGGCTATACACAGAGAGAGCCCATCGTATTTCACAAAACAAAGAAATAAAAGTGAGTACTGTGTAATGGGAGCTGTCTGTGCCCTTCGTGGGCACACTGGCTGCCAACACAATTCAGTCAGAAATACCAAGAGTAACAAGACCAGCCTTCTCAAGATTCCCTTCTAAACGCCTTGCCTTATCAACACTATTTGTGCGCTCAATGGCCTTTTCTTCCTCACGAGTAGTAAACGCAAGTGGATTTACACAGATCTATGAAAGGCCAAGATTTTAGTGGTTCGCAAATTTCAGTATTTGGACGTAAAAAGTTATTATGCTAATAACTCTCTACGTGGAGTTAAACAAAGCTGCTCAGCTCTGTCTCAGTCCAGTTTCTGTTGCTACAACAAAATACAGACTGGGCAATATCTAACGAAAAGAAACTGACTGTGGGCTGGGGGGGGGGGGGGGGGAGTCCCAGGTGCAAGCTCCGCATCTGCTGAGGGCCCCACTGTGACTTGATGTGGCAGCAGACGTCAGTGGTCAGGGAGCCTAAGCAGGAAAGTGTGGCTGTCCCTTCTTCCTGTCCTAAAGCCATATCCCATCACAGGGCCCTTGCCTTGTAACCCTGATTACCTCCCTAGGCTCCCGCTCCACGGAGCGTCAACATAAAATTAAAGGCTTAAGTTTCCACCGTGTGAACACTTGAGGAATATTTCAAGCATAGCGTTATTCTATTAAAAACTAACCACCAATGTTTCGGAAATGAGATGGTAAGATGCCGTGGTAAACGTCTAGGTGGCATTGTTCTCTCAGTTTGGATGCCACTCTGTTTGTGGAGAGTGTAGTTCATTTGGGACTGATGAGCAAAGTCTAAAAACATCCTTTTGACTTAAATAAGAGAAACTTTAATATAAGAAGCATTTTCCTGGTCATTTCTCAGTTATTTTGATATAAAAGCATGAAGAACAATTTAAATGCCTGTGTTCTGCTCCACGACTGTATCTACCTATCAGCTGTAATGCCCTTACCCTACATGGTCTGTAATTTTTAGATTCCTGGTCCACTCTGTCACACAGACTTTAGCCCTCACTTTTGAAAAGATACATTGTGTATCCAGTAGGAATTGCTGTTGGGGTGTTTTAAGTAGATGAGAACTATTTAAAATGGAAATGTATTTTGTTTTCACAGGGGCTGACAATATCCGGAAATACTGGAGCCGCTACTACCAGGGATCTCAAGGAGTCATATTCGTATTAGACAGCGCCTCTTCAGAGGACGACTTGGAAACGGCTAGAAACGAACTGCACTCGGCTCTCCAGCACCCACAGTTATGCACTTTGCCCTTTTTGATATTGGCCAACCATCAAGACAAGCCCGCAGCCCGCTCCGTGCAAGAGGTATGCGTGTCTCATTAGTGCCGTACGTCGTCCACTCGGTTTGTTTGCTCGTTTGTGGGGCCACTCACGACGCCATGTTGCAGTCTAGGGAGGCCTGAGTCTATGGATGTGTGGGCCGTGATGGTTTTGCATTTATCGCGGGAAGCAGAGCACCCATTATTATTATGTTCTCACATACTTAGATACCTAACCTTGCTTGAAAAACACAAATTCTTTGTTAACCGGAAGACATGCCTGGATATTTTCTCTTTCATTTTGAAGAGGTAAAGGCCTACTTAACAATTTAATTTAACCCTTGAACTTGGTACCCTCTCCATCACCTTTCAGAGGACTGTAGTGTCCTTTTTTACCACAAGTTACTTGGTCTCAGATGTCATGTTCTTGTCCCTCTGGAATACTTGCTATGGCTGAAAAGCTGATGTCTTATCTTGCAAGTCCCATGCCACCACACATATTTGACTATGGTTCTGCTCTTCCCTCTCCTCACCTAATTGCATTTCTTAGCTTGTTTCTTTCCTGTGAAAGTGTAAGGCTGTTCTGGGTAAACAGTACCACTATGAGTTCAGTTTCTGACTGCTAGCACTAAAACAATGAGATGTAAATAGCTTATAACTTAGGGACAGTGGAATCCAACCCCCTGTTGTATTGCCTTGCATCTGTACTTCACAGGATACATTTTTCTCCTCTCCCTCAGAAAACTGTAATGCCTCGAGTGGTTTAGGATTAAAATGATCAATAGGAGTGATGTTGCCCTACAGTCTGAAAAAGTAGATAAGGAACCAAGAGCATAATGGGATTTAACTCTGACCTTCCCCCACATTTAGTGTGGGACCCTGGTTAATAGCTTTGTTCTTGTGTCTGGCTTCTCAACAAATTGTTCTAAGTGCATAAGACTGATTTGGGTGATTTATTCTAATTTTACAGTATTAAATGGAAGAGTGACTGTGTATAGATAGTTTTCATTGGTTTAAAAAAAAGTGGGGTGGTGGTGGCACACGCCTTTAATCCCAGCACTTGGGAGGCAGAGGCAGGTGGATCTCTGTGAGTTCGAGGCCAGCCTGGGCTACCAAGTGCGTTGCAGGTTCGGCGAAAAGCTAAAAAGAGAAACCATATCTCCAAAAACCAAAAAAAAAAAAAAAAAGTGAAATACAGTGATTTATTCCTCAGCCCACAGAGCTGTCTGTAAGCTGCATCCTTTAGCATTCAAGACTTACTACCTTTTCACTTTATAGACTTTGGAAAATATATTTGATAGTAATTAAATAAAAATAGCAGCCAGGTGATGGCGGTCCATGCCTTTAATCCCAGCACTTGGGAGGCAGAGGCAGGCAGATCTCTGAGTCCGCGGCCAGCCTGGTCTATAGAATGAGTTCCAGGATAGCCAGAGCTATGCAGAGAAACCCTATCTCAAAAAAAAAACAAGAAAGAAAGGGAGGGAGGGAAGGAGGGAGGGAGGGAGGAAGAAGAAGAGAAAAGGAAAAAAGAAAAAGGAAACTTGCCATTTAATTGTCCCTGTGCAGATGTCCCACAATGCGATTGTGGTGCCTCCTGGATCTGTTCTTAGCACTCTGGTCCCTGTGTTAACTTCTTGCCATGAGGCTTCCTATCTGCAGAAGGAATGTACAAGAATGGAGGGATGGCTTGTTACCAGCACTACATCTGTTTATTCTGTGAGGTGCTTTACTCAAAGTATATTGTCATTCTCATGGGCAATAAGCAAACGAAGTGTTACTATAGAATACAGATAGACAACATAGTTACGGATATGTTAAAGGTGTGTATGTTATGTTAGTATGAGGTAGAGGTAGAGATAAGTACCAACCAACCTTGAATCACTTCTATTGAGTTAGAGTAGCTGACAGAATTTCTTTTCTTTGGGCTTCTAAAGAAACTTTTTCTTGGATATCAGATAATCAAGGCAAACACGTCTTTAATGATTTATTTTTATTATTTTCAATTATGGAGAGGAGAGTATGTGAATGTGGGTGCAGGTGCCCTTGGAGGTAGCAGGCATCAGATCCCCTGGGAACCGAATTTGCATCTTCTGGAAGAGCAGTACATGTTCTTAACCACTGAGCTATCTTTTCAACCCCAACAGATACATTATTTAAACTTAATATATGGCCCACGGGTAACCTTCTGTAGGAGTTAGAGACTCACATTGAATAAAAGAAGCTTCTAACAATTAATTGCTTCTGGGTATTCCTTGTGTATGTTAACTGGCTGTTTTGCCTTATGAAAAAAAAAAGCACAGATAATCCTTTGTGGTTCACTAACTGATGTTTATAAATATGGAATATTTATAGATATTGTTTGAAAATAATCCCAAACTTGTACATACTAGAATGCATGAGAACTTCATTTTCCTTCCCACTTGTATCAACTTTAATTAATTTTCCTAGAATGTTTTCCTGTAAGTAGAATTTAAATAATACCGGTTTGAGGATGCTGTTAGGTAAAGCCCTTGACTTGTCCTATCAGCATATACCATACAGGCACATGTTAACAGAGCATTTTGGAAAACTTTATAGGGTAGGGAAAAATTCCTTGGTAGACCTTGAGGTTTGTAGAAGCACAATGAAGTGCTCACCCTGGCTTCGGTTTGACGGAGAAAAGAAAGAGAAGCATCCCATCTTTCTCTTGATGACAAAGAGGTTACTCTCTATAGTGTGTTTATATAATGCCTGGTTGAAATACTCTGAGGAATGTTTTAAGAATTAAATCAATACCTTATTGTTCGCATAAAAATGGAATTGTGAAACTGAATCTTCTGTGTTGTATAAACAATACCCTCAAACTGGTTGGGAACAGCAGGCCTGCATAGGAAATTTAAAAGCAAACAGAGTCCCATGTTACTTGAAATACGTTTTAGACATGTATCTAGATATATCTTTAGACTTGGTCATCTTTTTGCTCTTTTTTCTTTCAGTAAGATATCAATTGCCCTGTGGTATTTTGTAAAAATGTGGTATTTTGTCCTGCAGAGTATCTGTCTGTGACTTTTAAGGGAGAATTCTGCTCAAAAAATCACGGAAGATGCCTTCAGTTTAACAGGGAACACTAACAATGAGACGTTAGTTAGAAAAAGCAACATGAACTTAGGCTTGGTGATTCCTCTCTTCCTGAAAAGTATTATATTTTATGTTTTCTGGGGGAAATGTGCCAGGATTTGTCTTGTCACTCGAGTAAAATTCAAGAATTCACTCGTTTATTAAGATAACTGTTAACTCAAAAGTGGATGGAAGCCAGCGAGACACAGAGGAGAAAGGTGACTGGTCGCCAGGATTCCGACGAGATAAAAATCATCAGGAAGTTCAATATTTTAGCTCTGTCGCATGCTGCGCATGTTGCTGTCTGTATGGAGCACAGAAATAAGAAATAAAGACAATGGTTAAAATTACTTCCTACCGCACAAGTGGGCGGCATGCCCAGCGATCTCATTGCCCCTTGAGAAACAAGCGGGATCTTGTAGGTAGCATATCTTCACTTTCTATAGTGTCCTTGGTCGTGATTTGTCCAGCTCACCAGAACTGGAAGATTTTGTATCTTGAGAATTGAGAGTAGGAGCATACGTTGTTTCTTCACAAAGCAAAAGAAAGCAAACGTGGGAGAATACTGGGTGAAAGAACACCCTACGCTGTTGGAAAGGCCAAGCAATTCTTCTACCAGATGTTTGTTGTGTTTGCTCTGGGGAGGTGTGGTTACTGCAGTTTTCCAGGATATATTCATATCGTCTCCTTTTCCCTATGGAAAATGTCCTAGAAAAAGCTATGCTGACGCCAAGTGGCCCACTTGATAGATTAGGAGAAAATCTGGTCTAATTTAAATGGTAAAGCTATAAAATGAGAACTCTTAAGAGTAAATAGTTTGGTTTTTTATTTGTATTGAATTGTAATTGTATCTAATTTGTTTTACAACTCCCTTTGGAGAGCATACTTCAGTTCTGAAGTTACTCAGTAGATCAGGAGTATTTTATGAGAAGCTAAGTTGATATAATACCCAATAAATGTAATCCTATTTTCCCTCTACACAGTTGCTGACTGCCATTCTTTTATTTTCTGGCTTTTTAAAAATCTTATTTTCGTTTGACTGGTTTTTACCAGGCCATATAAAATGACACATTTTGTTAACATGAAAAAAACAGTCCATATTTTTAGCAATTTCATTTGATTTGATGTTTATAGGTATCCTCCATCCAAGAGTACCTAACTTTTTCAGAAATGCTACATTAAAATGCATTATTGAATATTTTTATTCTTACTGAAAATATTAACTGAAAAATATTAATACCATGAAACAGAATTTTGAAGCAGAATTATGAGGCCCAGTGACTTGATTAGTTTCAAGCTTCATTAACTAGAGCTTGGAAAAATCCAGGTCCTAAATTACAGTGTCAACATTACATTTAAAATTTGTGATTATACTGTCTACTAATTTTGATGCAGTGTGCATAGAGCTCAGTGTTCTATTTGAAAATAATAGAGTAGAAATGTAAGGGGAGTCTTTACAAGTGCCCTTGTAAATATCAGCTTCTTTAGACCATGTTTCTTGGGGATTTATGCATTCAAATTTTCTGAATTATATACTGAATCTTTAGGGTTTTCACTTTATAGACAGAAGTTGTCTTCTGGAAGAAAGATACATGTGAATTTGTCACCCTTAATTGTAATGTTTATAGATGTCTTCACGTTGCATGCTTTTTCCCCTTTTCTTTATTATGTGTCACCAAATAATCTCCAGTTTGCATTTTTTTTTTTTAAATTTTGTCTTGTTATTGCTCAGCTATAGGCTAGTTCTCTTTAGTGGTTCTGTGAAGGAACAAGTGAACAAGGGTAATCTCAGAATTTCCACAATGACAAATCTTTTATTAGAAAATGCACATCTCTGTTAAAATTGCATGAGGCAGTTAGTTTGACTGAATATATCACTTTTTGTGTATGGAGGAAAATGTGTTTTCGTTGGGAAGTGTACTATACTTAAAGTCTAAAGAATCCTCCGTG